TTCTCGGTGTATAATCGTTCGAAACACACGCGCGCGCATGTACGCGATTCGAACAGTGTTGTACTCGTACGTATAGAGAAAAAAAAAAAAAAAGGTGAAAACGTATTTATTTTTCTCTCTCTCTATATTCTAAACGCGCGTATCCGCCACAGGTTACCACCGGTGTACCGCGAATGTAAAACTGTAATAAAACAATCGCGTTCGGCCGCAGACCCGCGCGTGTGATTTGCGCGGACCCGAACCGACGGAACGAGAACAATCCACGACGACTGCGCGGTGTCGTGGACGGCGAAACTGCAATAGCAGCCGCGTTTCCCACACGCGCCGGATTAAATGCGGAGTTACGATATCGCGTCGGCCAACAGGAATGAAACGCGCGAGTCGTGTTTCCGCGCGCGCGGGCGCCGCCCCCTCCCCCGAGTGTCCGTTACGCAACGGCGTGCGAGCGTGGAATGACATTTAGCCAGTCCGCGTGGAGATTTTCGGTGTGAAAACGACCGGCACGGCGGATGGTACGGTCGCATACCGTAATCCATCGCGTCCGTGTTCAATTCTCGCGCGGAATCGCGTGCGCGTGCGTCCGCGACCGCCGACCGCCGTACGGATTGACACCCGCCCGCGACGGATGATCGACGACGGGAGCGGCGTTACGTTCCGCGGTCGAGTTTTGACACCGGGGGCCGGTTGTTCGTGCCCGGGGTAAACACGTCGTCTGGTGCCCGAAGCGCTGACTTTCAGCGGACAATAACCGCTGTCGACCCGCGTGAAATTGAGTGCCGGCGGCGCGAGTGCGTCGGGTTAAAATGCGTGTTCCGTTGGCGCGGATAGACGCGGTCCCCGCATAGGGTCTCGGTTCGCGTCTGGTAATTGTCGTAATCTCTAACGGGGTCTAACACCAAGTTCCAAAACGCTTCGAGCCATCTCCGCTCGACGACGCGCGAACGCGGTTTTTCCTCCGGCGTGCGGGGGGGGGGGGGGTGGTGGTGTGGAGGGAGGGTCGATTTTTATCGCATGCGCCGCTCCGAAACGACAAATCGAGTGTCGACAATGGTTACGTTTCGACAGCGAACCGGACGCCCGCAAGCAAAAAAACGGCCGACGGTCAATCGAAAATGAACACGGTTTATAATTCGGTTGTCGCGCGGGGGCGACGGAGAACTTCTAACTATAGAGCGCCTCGCCGGAGCCGGTTCGCCCGAGTTCGACTGTTTCGAAAACATTTGATCGTCGGATCGCGCGCCGAAGTTCAACGTTATCAAACGAAATTTCCATCGGATCCAACGTTACGTTTAATCGATTTTCTTATTTATTTATTTATTTATTTTTTTTTTTTTTTATATTATTCCTCTTATCGGTTCTTATTTCGAAAAACTGACGCGGAAAATAAAAATGAAAAAAAAAAAAAAACGCCCCATCACGGTAACCCAATACGTTCCTCGGTTTATTTCAGAATCTAAAACGACGCGGCGCGTGTCGTCGCGTTCGACAGGAAAACAGTATCGTTTTCAAAGACGGCGGCAAAACGATTATCGTCTCCGGTTTTTTTCCACGGGTCAAACTCTCTTAGGTGTATACTTATTGTATCATGGACGGAAGATAAACGTTTCCTCCGGGCTAACACGCGGCGATTCCCGTGTTTTAACGTTTTTTTTTTTTATCGGATGTAATTATTAATGATAATTTGTGTAACGAGACCGAATTCGTTAATAATAATACGCGATAATCGCGTTTACACGGCTCATTAAATGTCCGTGCTTTCTAAGAACGCGTTACGGGTTTTTTTTTTTTTTTTTCTCTCGTCTAGAATGTCGGTATGCGCAGCTCTAAACAAGTCTAAACGTATAATGCGGATAACAACTAATAAGTCGAAAACCGTGGAAAAAAAAAATGTTTTTCGATTTTATTATTGACGGGAACACGTGTTGTAAAATTACCCCGTTAATGGTTTGGAATATTTTCATAAATATTTATTATAATTTATAACGCACGATCTCAAAATATTCACAGGCGTGTCTATAAACAGTGTAAAGCCGACCAGTTCTATCACGCATCACACTAAAAATATTTATTCACAAGTCAATCTGAAAATATTTATTTGAACGGCGTTTAAACAAACATCGTTGTCCTTATGACTATAAATCCGAATTAAATGAACTTTTGTCGAAACGCATGGCTCATCAGGGCTCTTCCACTTCAATTTCGTTTATTCGAGAATTGCCAACGGAGCCAATCGATTTGGGGTACGTAACCCCTAATCGGCCTGTTCTACCCTCTGCGCACGTTTTCGGTTTATGACGACCCACTGTAATGCACGTGATTGTACTGTTTTATTTTTATTTTTTTTTTTTTCATTGGTTCATAACTTTATACTGTAAAATATTGTCGCCGTTTGCAGCGTTTCGACCGATAAGGTTTTTTTTTTTTCTTTTTTTGTAATCCGATATTGAAGACGGACGTCGTAGTCGTTAACGTAGATCACCGTGCGTTTTAAACTACGCAAACAATCATTTAACAAGAAAATGTATGCGTTTTTATCGTTTATTGTTTAAGGACACCTAAATTGTATGAACGAAAAACGTTTAAAACTGCTTATTTGACGGTATTTAATAGTCAGTAGTCCACAAATCGGTGTTCGCACAGGCTACAGTCATTATTAACTATTATGTTACCTATGGGCAAAGTATAGGCAGTGTACGACGTACAACTCGTTTATAATATTGCGGACATAATTGTCGAGAGGAATTTCGTAGTCTAAATAACGATTGTTAACACATTATAATCTACATGATACTATAGCAATAACTTTTTGCATTACTAGCTGTGCCGAACGGCCGAAGCCTGTGTACAGTATTAAACGAAAATACACAAAAATTTAAAAATTGTCTCCCCGTGTTCCCCTAAAAATAAATATGTTTTTTTTTGGGTAATTCATCCGGATCGCTGTATTTGTACGCCCCTGCCCCCAATCTACGTTTCGCGTTGACCATAGCAAATTAAACGCCTACGGTATTCCCCGTCCCCGCCATAAACTCCTCTCATCCACTCACTCCGGGTGTAGTCCAATTTGCAAATTGGTGCAAATTACGTATCTTTGTTTTGATGCAAATAATGAACTCCTCCCATTCCAATTGCCATTTTCATTTCTTTCATTTCGACCCCTAACTCTCTCTCTGTCCCTCAACAATACCCCGTTTAATCGCAAAGTCGGAAGTCAACTTTGTTGGGAATACATTTTCGCCACCCACTCCGACCCTCCCACGAGTGGTCATAATAATCAGAATAATATTTGTCTACAAATTTCTAAATTCAATCTATTTTAATGTCCATAATTAATTATTATTTATTTAATGTCACTCTACCAGATGTTAAAACACCCATTCGGCACTCATAGCCGTGGACCGCGGTGGTGGATATCCCTCGGAGTTTGTTGCCTAGCAGTGGTTTAGCGTGAATGATAACTGAGAATGTCTTACGGTCTGGTTGAGGGGTAAACTATGGCAGGAGTGGAGGCGTACAATTGTACAGTGATACGGGTGGAACGAGAACAAAATACATTTAGGGGACACTGGGAGCCAGTTTTATCCGTTATTTAACCATCCCGCATTATTCTTGCAGGCAAGATTTAAAATTTATCAATCAACGTATAAGAAAACTGTGCGAAATGTAGTGAAATCCGCCATCGTAAGGTAGGCAGGTAGGTATTATAAATTATAATGCACAATAAAAAAAAAAAAATATTACAACAATTTGAAACACGCACAAAATATTGTGGTTATATACGTAATAACAATACAATTAAAATGTATGATAATAAATACAAATTCCGAAATTGATTACATAATATTATGTAGGTACACGATATTATTACGATTGCGTTGTAATTGATAAAATGACTGACGGACGACGGGGAAAAGTTCGATTTCATTGTAATGATAATCGTTTGATCCCATCAAGATGTATGACCGATGGGAGCGGGAGGTTTAGCTCTCACAAACACATAGAAACGCGGAACGCGTAAAACATGGCGTTGATTTTCGAGTAAACGTGAAACGAACGAATCCCCCGTTATGTTATTCAAGGGTGAAATTTGCGCGGATGTTCAGCGAACTCTTATTAAATGTTTGTTTCTGAAGTACACCGTACAGATTGCGGTTGATAGAACCGCACGACACGGGGAGAACCGTGAAAGAGACACGGTTAAGGCGTGTGCGGGAGACGGCTATTACGGGTAGCCGCACAAAAGGCGACGAAGTCTATTGGTTGAAAATGGGAGGTGAGCACAACTGTATTGACAGTGATAGTGCAATGATAATAGCGCGACGACTGTTGGCGTGCGCGCGCGTGTGCGTGGGCGGTGCGGCGGTTCGGACGGTCGCAATGGTGGTTGAGAGGACTATTATTGCGATGGCCGAACGGCTGGTTGGGATTAGAGGTACCCGCGCGAAAAAGACCACGTGGTGATAATTTATTAACGTACGAACCGCACGACAATAACACCGATTGTTCCGCGTTATTTGCCGAGAGGAGTCGAAAAGCGAGAACAGGTACTCGCCCAAGTACAATGGGTACAGAGGACATTTTTCTCGGTAAAACTGTCGGCCGGCACATTGTTGTTATGGTGACACGACCCCCCCCCCTTCCCTCCCCGCAGTGTTGATGCACGTTGCCGGTTTTTTTTTTTTTTTTTTTTAAAAAAAATAAACATTTTTGTACGAGTGAAATCCAAAGGTTTGCGGACGCCGCGGACCGTGACGGGTCTTTGGCTAATTTCCCGCCTGTAGATGCATACACACGTATATTGCCATTTATAACGGTGTGTTACACTGGTATTTTCAATATGAATCGGATGACCGCCTGACCGATCCGTTTAGATTGCTCTACAGAATTTGCGATCTTTGTTTCATTTTTTTATTTTCTCTCTATCCGTGTTCCGTTGCGCCCGCGTACGAAAACGGGTAGGGGTACGGTATTTCTTTATTTCGTCACCGGTTGAAACAACTCGCAGGCCCCTTTTCCGGATTGTGCGTCGATTGCTGCACGTTTTTCTATACTATCGATAAAAAATATTTTAACGTCGGTAGGTACCTATGGTTACGTTATTTTTGAATATTTTATATACAATTGCACAAAACCAAAAATACTCGACAGGTGTATGACGCGCCGTCAGTTGGCTACGCGTATACAACAATTAATAACAATCACAGATCGTAGAATAGAAATTATTTGAAAATGATAAAGAAGCATGGAAAACGAAATCATCAAACCCTAGGGAAAAAAAAATCCCCGGACACAATTACTAAGAGAAATAAAATCGTAGACGTTATCGGTAAAAATATAAAGATTCGAATGTCGCGAGTCGATTACGATCCGCTAAACTTTAGACAAAGTAGGGGATGAAGATTTTTCTCCGCGTTTCACATCCCGGGGGGGAGGGGGGGTGTGTGAGGGATTACCAAATATTATGCAGACGAGAGCACGGGCATTGTCGCAGTAATAACTCTGGGTGCACGGTTACAGCTCACCGTGAAACGTGAAATATTCTAGGACTGCGATTGGTTGAACCGCGTAGTTATTATGCAATCCTGACAAAATCAACCTAATTAATGACCCAGTGGTAGGAGTACCGGGCACTGACCTCCCGAGAAGGGAATGGGTAGCATTAAATAGATTCCGAACGGGTCATGGAAAAACAGGACACATGCTCCATAAATGGGGACTCGGGCCTACACCAGGATGTGACTGCGGCTATGAAAAGCAAACTGCTATACACATTACTGATGACTGTAATACTCGACGACTACAAGGAGGAATGAAAGAGCTACACGGAGCCACAATAGGCGCAGTGCAATGGTTGAACTCCTTGGACGTACAAATCTAATAGAAGACTTACGTATCTCACACATCCATTACTAGTCAACATATTACATATATAATTAGTTATCATTTAGCCAACTTTTATTTGTTTATTTATATTTTTATCTTTCTTATTTTATCTGTTTTATACTATGTTACCTATGTTAAACTGTGAACTGAATGTAATAATTATCTAAGCCATACGAAATAATAATAATAATTGTGCAGTAGATTGACCAGTGGTCCAACCATCGTTTTTGATCTTAATACCGTAATCCCTACACCGTTGATACCGGACCGTCGAGTTCGATAACGGTTCGACTCGTATTTGAAACCGTATCGAATTGTAAATCGTCGCGTTGCACGGCGAGCTGCGTGGGCGCCTCGACGGGACACTGGTTCTCCCGTTTCGTCCGACGCGAAACGCGATTTTGCACCGGACAATTTATAGCGACAAATTCAATGCCGGTACGTTGTTCGGAGAAAAATTGCGAAACGCGAAACAAGTCCGAGCCCTGCAACCGCCGTGCGCCTCTCTGACCGGGGGGGGGGGACGTTTAACGTCCACACAGACAGGCGCGGACGTAACGGGCGCGGTACGCGTTACGCGTGTCGTCGTGGGAACTGTTGGCAATTTTTCCCGGTGCAGTTTGCTGTTTCGAGATTGCGTTCGCGCGTCCGTATTTCCGCGCGCGGACGGGATTCGTAAACGCGTGACAGCTCGCAATCGTTATCGTCGCCTTGAGTTCGTGTAATGGGACGACGCGATTTATTTGATTCCCATCGTTGTGTTCGGTACGGCGGCGGCGATATTTTTAAAACAACCTGTTCGGACCGTTTTTGCCGACTAAAAGAAAAAAAAAAAAAAACTAAAAACCCATCCAAGTAAAACTAATATAGTTTATATTATACCGGTAAATTTACGAAAATAATTCTCTTATCGTTTTTATTATTGTCATTTTTTTTTTTATTGTAATTCGGTTAAACATATTTATAGATTTGATGTAAATTTCACAGAAGACTAATATCTGTTTTTTCTATACGCAGTAAAACGTTCAAAACATTTGAGCTATTTATAGAGGTTTTCTGTTTTAAATAAACAGAAACATTTGAAAATTTAACTGAAGATTTATTACAAGTCCGTATACTTAGTGGTAAAAATAAAAAACCGATTATAATGTAAGTTTACCTATTTTTTTTTTTTTTTTTTTTTGTCGCATAAGAGTTACAATATCAGATTCTGACGAAAATCTTAAATATTACCGCTTTTCAAAACGTGTAAAACCCAACTTCGTTCCGAATCGTTTTTCGTTAGCATTTTTGCTTACAGGTGTAAATTGAATAACTTCAGTCCTTCCTCGATTTCCCGTCTACAACGGCGGCACACCCGTCCCCAGAATCGGCTCTTTTTTTTACACATTTCGAATTTTCAGTTGTATATAATTAAATATAATTGTACGGTATTACCACCGCACAACCGAAAACGATCGTACGTAGATAATTGTTGTTACTACTCGTTGGACGTTTTTAGCAAATGACGTGTATTTAATCGAAAACAAATATGTTTTTTTTCAATTAAATTTACATACAGCCTAATATCGTAATAACACATCGATCGAAAACCAGCGGAGTTTCCGTCAATTTCAAAGCACGCGCCCGGCGTCACGAACACGACGGGAACGGCGATTTTCAGTGGCTAATATTCCGGATTGGTAGGTGGGTGGGGGTGTTCACACAATAACAATACCGCGTAATATTATACGGGAACGATTTCGTAATCGTCGATTTATTTATTCTGGTCGATTCACAGCGACGGCGATCACACCGGCCAACAAAGTTTTCGGTGGCCGGCTAGCCGACGGTGAATTCCGTTCGTTGTGCCGCACAGGCGTTCGTCGTTGAACGCTTTTCAATCATAATTTAGTTTTACTGTCGAACGACCGCTCGACTTTGTTCAAACTTTGTACTGTAAACGTCTAATGATAACCGTAAATATGTATTATAGTCGAACGAGATAAGACGAGATTGCGAACAGTCCGAAAAGATTGCGCGTGTGTCTGATCTCAATTTCGGGAATTAGACACCGTCTGCTACGGCCGCGCGATAAAAAAAAATGTTTCCAAACGAAGTTAACAGACAGATTAATACCGTAATAACACTTATTGCCATTCGCACGTAACCGCGTAGCACACGGCGATCGCGCTACAGAGACGTTAACACGGACGATTTCTTTCCGTCCGCGTCACCGAGATTATGCGTTACTGTTACCCTCGGCGCAATTATTAATTTAACGACAACAGTGCGACTCGCGTTTAATCGCCGACTCGGTTCTCTGCCCGTTAACAACGACGCGTCTTTTGAATAATAAACCGAATTGTCGTGCGCTTGTCCGACATTTTTTCGCGCGCACGCTTTGCCCGTTTTAGCTCGTACAACGCACGCCAATTGTTATCGGGTGTACGGAACGCCGGATCGTCCGCTTTACGCGTACATTTCCGGTGCGGGTCCGGACGTCTTCCGATTTTCAACCGCGTCCAATCGATCAAACGATATGACAACACAGATTTCAAAACAGACTCAACAACAGTCCGGCCGCACTCGATCGCTCGGACCTCGTTCCGAAATTCGACGTTTTTTTTTTTTTGTTCGCCGAATCCGGCGTCGAATTTTACCGGTTTTTTTCGACGATCGATATCCGTAATCGGTTTTTTCCGCGGTCTAAATTTATGCCAGGGATAAGACGCCTGTTATAATGGCCTGCGGGGTAGAGGAGTCTATTATTCGATGACACGGGGGAAAAAAAATTAGGAACGTCGAATGGGACCATGGTCAATTGCCCAACGCATACGCAACCACAGACGCGATAAACAGAAATAACCGCCGGACAAGAAATTACCGTCCCGGCCGGGAAGAGATACTATTTATCATAAGGATTGCGCTGTACGTTTTATCGATATTTTTACCGCCGAGTCTGGCGGAGAAACAGATTAGCGGTTATGCCCGGTTTATTCAATCCGTAATCGTGATGGAATTGAAATATTCTGGTGTCCGATCGGCGATCTTCCATACTGCCGGTGCGTAACACCGTCTACATCGTTTAGTTACAATTCGGAGGGAAACGTTTTACCTTCGTTTTTGTTTCCGTATGTGCCGCCGCCAATCACGACACTACAACGATGTTCGCAGCCGTATAAACTCTTAGCACCTAATTTCTATTGAAAAACAAAAGTCGCAAAAGTACGCGGGACGAGAACGGGTGAACGACCAGAAATGAGTTATTAATTACGCGCTGGCGTATTACTCGTCTCTAAACAGAATTCAAGTGACCGATATCAAGGGCGGTCGTCGATCGCGTAGTTGTTGAACGATGCGTTGATTAGCATAGGCCGTTCAACTATCGGGTACATTGTTATAATATGTTATTCGTTTACGTCGCGTGCTCACGGCGCGGTTTTCCCTGTTATCAATTAGTGATACCACACAACGTGCATCGATTTCGCTGCGCCACGGCAATATCGCGGTTTCGAACCACCCAGCGGCCAGCGCGCGGACGCGGGTATAACACGGGCACTTTTTGTCAAACGTCACCAACAGTTTTGGTCACGATTACCTATAATTTACAGGTGTATATTTGTGCGTAGCCGTCACGGGGCCACAGCAACTCCAACGGTACAATCTAAGATTAACGGATACGAACGTTGAGGTTTTTTTTTGTGTTTTTTTGAAAACTATAACCCGTCTCCCGAAATTTCGTTTAGCGTGTGTTTCGGACGACGACGACGACGACGACACACGGTGGGTACGAATTAGTAGACGAATCAGACGGGTACCCGCAATAACACGGCCCGTTCAATGTTTAACGTTTTGTCCGCCTATCGTAACGGGTCCGTTTGTTCTGGAAACGAAAATAAACCGACGCTGGCCCGGTAGGCACCCCGTATAAGGTACAGGCAGAGGAACACGCTTGTGTTTTTTACGAGCGAGTCGGAGACGACGTTTATCGGTCGTTTACTTAATTGACCCGTCACGCTTTACACGCATAATACGCGAGTATATATATTACGTTATAGCGTACGACGCCTCGCGCGTATAAAATGCGCCGTACGTAATGTTGTGTGTGCCGTCCAATTATTGCCGAACGGCGACGCGACGGCACGTCGGAACACCCCGACCGGCTATCGCCGATATTGAATCGGTCCGGCACCGCGGTCTTAACCACGGTCCGGGCCCGGTAAAACGTAATAATAACGTTTCGTCCGCCCGCCGTCCGGTGGTGCCCCATGTCCGTCCGTGACGGCACCGCGGCGGCTCTATCCGCTCGCCCCCCGTTCACTCTGGTAGCCGACCGCGGCGACGCCGTCGCGTGCGAATCGAAAACCGCGGTACGCGTTGACGACGGTCCGACCACTACGGCCGGATATCTGTGTCGACGTCGGCTTTGTTTACTTTTGTGTAACGCTGTTCGGTCACGAGTCCGACGGCGAAACTGAACACCCCGCGGATCGATTTGCACCGACCGAACCGATGGCGCGCCCGGGCGTTTTCAATGGGAGACGGTGTACACAAACGGATATCGCCAATAGAGAATGAAATCGTCTTTTCCGCCCGACTCGACTATGGGAATTGGCGATTTAAAAGCCTGAAAAAAAAAAAATCAATCCAATTTCTAATCGATACGTCAAAGCTTCTCGAAAATCGGCCGAAATGTATACGAGTTTCGATATAAGATTACTCGTATTCTGTTCTGTTTTTAAGCCGATGGGGGGAAATAACACCTAAACTCCACTCCCCACCCATCGTAGGCACGCCGCTGGACTAAACACTAAAAACCGATACGCGGGACTCGGGATTATCGCGGAATACGAAAATGTTATTAGGTCGGTTCGCGGGGGCCGTCCGAAGTCGCGCCGTTCCCGAGCCGAGAAGACAACACTCCCGACGGGTGACGCATGGGTAACATTGTCTGGAACGGCCGCACCCGGAACGTAAACGCGAACTGCGAAATCTGTAACGATTTCAATTTTCAGTGCTGAACGGCCGAACCTGGCCGAACTTTGGCCCCCGACCTCGCCCGTTAAATTCAAAATCCGTTTTAAACTGTTCCGGATTTTGCCGTTTCACGTGACGCTGGGCTCCATCGGCGACGACCGGGTTACCGTACTCGTTGTCCGGAACGCATCGTACGAAGTTCAGCACTTTTTTCTTGACCTGTCTTAAACGCGTGCAACCCATCCACGCTGAAAATCGTTTACGTTCCCGACCGTTTCGGACTCGCTGCCTCTCTGCACGCGAAATACGATTGGGTTTGACACATGGGTTGTTTCGTCCGAAGACCGTTGCGAACATCGGCAACCGCACGTTTGAGAACCCGTGGCCAAGGCGATGGCGGCGGTAGGTAAGTACTGGTACGAGTTACGGATCGCACCGTGTCGGGTTTTATAATAAGGTTTACGTAGCTGCGTGCGCTGGCTGCCCGGACGGCCAGCCGGCCGGCCGGCTGTTTGTCGGCGGCCGGGAGGAGACGACACGCCGAGCGTGGAATGTAGCGGCGACGGCGGCGGCGTCCGCCATTAGAATGGGAAAAAAAGACGACGACGGCGTCACGTACCACAACCGGTTTTTCCCTTCGGCGCGTATTGTCGTCGTCGTCGTCCGCGCGCACGGCCGCAAACAAAAGAGAGAGGAGCCCGCCGCCGTTGCCGCGGCGGTGTAACTCGCGGGCGCGTACCGCCGCGCGGCGGTAGCGCCCGGCGAGCGGGGCGGCGACGACGTTGCGTCCCATTGCGCACGCGCGCGCGCCGACTCCATTGACCCGGCGACGACGACGACGACGGGCGTTCCCCCCACCCGGCCGGCCGCGGCGGTTGCGTCGTCCGCCACAATACGCGGCGAGCACGTACGCGCACGACCGCGCGCAACGTTCTCCCGGCGAGGAGTTTCACGACGCCCCACCGCCGACGCGCCGCGCGTACCGTTTTCATTCCACGAGAAACGACCAAACGCTTGCGACGTATGTCCGTGTGCGCGTAGTGTGTGTGTGTTAATATTTTTATTGTAAATTTTTTTTGCCGTACGGTCGAGCGATCGGCGAGTGTACGTCGACGAGACTGTCTGATGCGCTCGCGTCATCTACGACGTCCCATCCAAATGACGCCCGCTTTGTACCGCACGTGAGTCCCGTCATTAAAACCCGACGTTTTCAGTGATTTTCCCGTTACGCGGCAACCGACGACGTTTTTTTTTTTTTCATTTCTCATTTCGAACTTTTCGTTCGTTTAACCGACTCGATCCCGTTTATTTCGCGACCGACACCGACCCACTATGTTCGACGTTTTCGGCTCCGTCAAGGGGCTGCTGAAAATCGACAACGTGTGCATCGACAACAACATTTTCCGGCTGCACTACAAGGCGACCGTCGTCATCCTGGTGGCGTTCTCGCTGCTCGTCACGTCCCGCCAATACATCGGCGACCCGATCGACTGTATCGTCGACGATGTCCCCCTGAACATCATGGACACGTACTGTTGGATATACTCGACGTTCACCATACCCAACCGGATCGGCGGCCGGATCGGCAAGGACGTCGTCCAGCCGGGCATCGCGTCCCACGTGGACGGCGAAGATGAGGTCAAGTACCACAAGTACTACCAGTGGGTGTGCTTCGTTCTGTTCTTCCAGGCCATGTTCTTTTACCTGCCCAGGTACATGTGGAAGACGTGGGAGGGCGGCCGTATCAAGATGCTCGTCTTGGACCTCAACTGTCCCATAATCAGCGAGGACTGCAAAGCGGACCGCAAGAAGTTGTTGATCGATTACTTCGCCAACAATCTGCACACCCAGAACTTCTACGCCATACGGTTTTTCCTCTGCGAGTTCCTCAACTTCGTCAACGTCATTGCCCAGATTTTCTTCATGGATTACTTCCTCGACGGTGAGTTTAGCACGTACGGCTCCGACGTGTTGCGGTTCACCGAAATGGAACCCGAAGACCGAGCCGATCCCATGGCCAGAGTGTTCCCGAAAGTAACGAAATGTACTTTCCACAAATACGGTCCATCGGGTTCCATCCAGAAATTGGATGGTCTGTGCGTGTTACCGCTGAACATTGTGAACGAAAAGATATACGTTTTCTTGTGGTTCTGGTTTTTGTTTGTTGCTGTACTCAGCGGTCTCAACTTGGTGTACCGCACGGCCGTCGTGGTGATGCCCAAGTTCCGGTTGTTGTTGTTGAGAGCCAGATCGCGTTTGGCTCCCCAGGAAGAAGTTGAAACCATCACTGAGAAGTGTCAAATCGGCGCTTGGTTTGTTTTGTACCAGTTGGGCAAGAATATTGACCCCTTGATCTTCAAGGAACTCGTTTCAGACTTGGCCAAGAAACTGGACGGTAAGGAGAGTGTGTAAATGTGACTTGATGCAACTACAACAATTTTATTGTATTTAAATACTAAATTTAAAAAAAAAAAAAAAAAAAATATTAAAAATTGTTAGCCTAGGAAAACACGGTTCAGATAATGGATAAGCAATAATTTAGACAATTTGTTTTTTCAATAGGTCTAATTTTTATATTATAGGTAACCCCCCCTCCCCCTACCTCCTTGTGCTCTTATATTTATGTATTTGTGGTATATATAAATTTTTTTTTAAATTCATTTCCTTTTGCCTTTATTGGAGAACACAGGGGTGTGCAGTTGAAAAATATTGTGTTCATGATATAACAGGTTTTTATAACATTATTGACAATTTTGAAGATTTAGGTAAATACCATGTTTTTATATATTATTTACCTATATACATAATATACTTTTTTATAATAATTAAAAGAATTTGTAGATACAAAAAAAAAAAAATAATGAAATAATAATACAATTGGTCTCATTTTCCTATATAAGGTAATAACATAAACAAAAATAAGAATATTTTTTTTTTCTTTTTGGCCTACTCTGAATAGGACGGTGATATTTTCTGATAAATTCTGATATTTTAGTTACACTGTTGTTAATGGTGACTGTTAAAGAGTCCACTTTTCAATTCAGACATTTATTATGTTTTAATGTCAAGTAAAAATGTCTGTCTTCGCTTCACAATAATCTTCCTTTTATACACAACAAAATAATTGTTCACAATACCCTGCTAATATATCTGTATACATTTTTTAGTGTCAATCGTTTATATTTAATTACCTACTTATAACGCAAGTATTTAAATTTTTTAATTGTCTATCCCGTTTTCATATTATCGTTTATGTATTCGTCTCGGATTGTTTTAAGATTATCGCATCTTATCTACCTACCTGTTGCAGTTGATAGTGCCACTTCTTAACAATATTATTTTTTGACGTTCATTGTAATGATTGTATTATACGGAACACTATTAAATATTATTAGGTAGTGTTTTCCGAGTCTTCCATTTTGAGCAAAACTATGTGTTCACAAGTTTTATTTTAATTTACTACTCCATAACTATTATTATTTTTATTTATTTTTTTTTTCATCCACATTCCACATTATATTAAAAAAAAAACTCATTGGAAAATGAGAATTTTATTTAATTAGGTAAATTAAGTAATAATTTTACAAAAATAAACCGAATTTTGCATAACGTAATGTACAAAATAAAAAAAATAATAACAATAATAACAAAAAAAAAATATTGTCTTCTTTTATTAAAATATATATGTAAATAATACGTACAATTTTTTTTTTTTTTTGGGCTTCGTGAATGTCATTTACAATTCACTTCTATTTATATATAATATTATTTTATAAAGATAATCATGAAACATATATGTGATGCTAATTAACTGTAATTAATAATTATATTTTAGACTAGTTTTAATACTTACTGAATTTTTATTATATTTTTTTTTTTTCTAGTTAGGTCTATATTATTATTACTATTATAAAATATCTATATATCTATATATATTTATATAGGTATATATTATAACATAACGTATTTATGTATAGGTATAAATTATTATTTTTATCATTATTATTATTATTATTATTATCATCATCAACATTATTTAAAATATGTACGTTAACAATGAAATTCCATAAGTGCCTTTTTGTACTACATATTTAGAAAATAATATTATTATTATTATTATTATTATTATTATTATTGGATATGCATATCTCGACGAATTATCACAATGTACGCTCAAAAAAATTAATTATTCAACATTCCATATATATATTGATATAATATTTAACTGTACCGCTGATGACCGCTCAGCGCGCTGTGCATATGATGCGCGCTCTGAGCGTGTTCAGTAAAAACGCGCACACCGCCGCTACGTCAATTAACTCCAAATTGACTGCCAATATAAGACTATTAGATAACTTTATACTGTTTTATTCAAGACAATAATAATTTAAAAAAAAAAAAAAAAAAAAAAAAAAAAAAAGAAAAGAAAAGACATTTATAAAATAAGAAATATATATGACTGGTGTTGTTTTTTTTTTTTTTTCTTCTATTTCCATTGTGTTTATTGTAAACTTTTGTGCGGTAAATATCATAACACTATATTTACTTACTGCCCAAAAGTAAAACCTACAAAATCGTGTGTTGTCAAGGTATTTTTTTTTTTTTTTTATAACAATATAAATATATATATATGTATATATATATATATATTTACAGAACAATAATATATATTTGTGTTTTGTAATAACCGCCCAATAAACTAAATCCGTTCAAGTATGTAGAACGTTATTTATTATTTTATTTATTCCTGTTTACTCGCCGTGTTCGTATATGAAATATTATTTGAATTGACGTGCACACGCGCACACACGCGCGCGCGGATACTACTACTTTTTATTTTTTTTGTTAACTAATTGATACAATTATATATTTTTACCGCGTATAAAGATTGTGTAATGCCGCCCGAATGAAAAGCCGGAATTACCGTAGGATTATACGGCCGCGCGAGAGTGTGTGTTCGTTGTTAGCGATTTACCGCACAGGTAAATGTGTTGTGGTTAGCCGTAGACGGCATTACGACAGTAATAACCGCGGAGTCGTCGGTCCGGGCGTGCAAGTACATAAATTAAATTTCGTTCGTCGGAGACAAAAAGTCGGTCAGTTCTGTTTTCACGAAATGAAATCGTGGCTAGGCGCAGCAAGGCCGATGCAGCAAGAGCAGGTGTTTAAGATTTAGAATTTATTCGACTAATAATTTTTTTTTTTTTTTGAAAATAATTGATTTTTTGATTTAATTTTTCGCGCGGAATAGGTTGGCGTGCGCGCACCAAACGAAACGGTTGCCGTTTGGCGGGTTGAAAACGTAAGAAAAAAATTAATATTTNATTTTTTTTTTTTTTTGAAAATAATTGATTTTTGATTTCATTTTTCGCGCGGAATAGGTTGGCGTGCGCGCACCAAACGAAACGGTTGCCGTTTGGCGGGTTGAAAACGTAAGAAAAAAATTAATATTTTTTATTAAACACCGATTGCGTGGAAATACGAAACATAAATACGGATTGTTGTTACTACGAAAACCTACTACCTAACAGTATCGTCGAAATAAATCTCCCGCGTTCGGTTTTCGCAATTACGTCTGTTTTTTTTTTTTTTTTATCAATCTATCTCTTGAATCTAGTAGGTAGGTATATATATATATATACACTATACACAGAATAAAACAAGAATACGAATAAATATTATAATAATATTTTTATTAGTCTTAGAAACGTTTTTTTTAATATATATATATATATATACATAATGAAGACGGGACACTCGTGTCATTTATTTGTACGACCTCGAAAAGTTATGTAGCCCGTTGCGCCATGCATAATATTGTTGCAGCTTATCAGGGATATAATAAATTATAACGATTAAAGTGGCCGTCAAATGCCCGGTGAATGCATTTTCGCTGCTTTGATAATTAGAAAAAAAAAAAAAAATTGCAATTGAGGCTCGAGGTGACCTTTTTGTATTTTGTGTTTGATTTATAAAATAATACCTATAACATTATAGTGACGGAGAGCCGGTGTGTCGGCCGAAAATAATAAAAATCTCGACGAGTGCTGCCACTTCCCACGCACGGTCGGAAGAACAGGATAAGTATTTTCTCCCTTGTTGCTAAGGTAACGGAGAGACTAACAAAAATGATACAAAAGAATTTACGATCTTTCCCGTTTTTCCGACATTTCCGACGCGCCCGGATTGAAAACGCTACGAGTTAGTTCCTATAAAATGTTCGATCGGTGCGAGATTTTTAGTGGAGAAGTTGTTCACAGACATAGACATGCTCGAAAAAAACATCGTTGCAAATTCCATAGGGTATCGATAGTTTGCACCCCGGTGTACCGCGATCGCCAAGATATCCGTCAGTGGTTTACCCTCCGGCGAAACCTCTTCCCCCCCCAAAAAAAATAATACATTTGTCGTTTTGTTCAGAATTTAAAATGCCCGCGATTCGTGGCGACGGAGACGGAGTGCCGACCGAAAACATTATTTTAATTGTCGCGCGCGCCGACTAAGAAGAGATCCCCTAAAACCTTAAAACGCGCGGCGGGCGAGTGGGGGGATAAAAAAAAAAAATTTGTAAACAATTTTTGTTTGCGTTTTTCGTTGAACGGATTACTACGGTAGCAGATTAGGCGCGCCACAATATAAATACAGGCGCGCAGTTCAACGGGTTAACGACGAATAACAAACGGCGCGTGTTTTCGACGCGCTCGAGGACGTCACGTTTCGCGGGCGTTTTTTTTTTTTTCCTCAATACATTTGTCGCGGATTTTCATTCGGCTCATTCACCGGCCGCGCTCTCTCGCTGCGCTTCCCGGTAATCGCGTACTACTGCCCGCCGGGACATGCGGAGCCCGCGGACGGGTAACGCGCGAGTCGAACGTCGGCGCGCGCCGCCGTACGTTTTCATATTTCAACGGCCCGCTTGGATTGTGTCGGCAATCGCGTCGCAGTTGCAGCGGACCGCCGCGCACACGCGAACCGGCGGTGGGGGGAGGGGAGGAGGTACTCGTTTTCCGACCGAACTCTTGGGTATTTATTTTCTTTTGGAAAACGAACCGCGACACGTACCGGTCACCGCGTGAGCGTGCGCGGGCAGCGCGGCGTCGGGTGTCGGTTGCCCGCGAAAACCCGGGGTGTTGTCCACCGCCAGGGCGAAATCCGCGGGTTTTCGATCGCGTTTCTGCCGCGAGACCCGACGACAACGACTTGTCGCGTAAACACCGGTAGCGTTTTCTTTTTCCGTCGTAGTTTTCGTTTGATAAACCGGACGAACTGATTATTTGTCGACGGGTGATAAAATACGACCAATAATACTCCGCTCAGAATCGGTTTTTGTCGGCAACGGTTATCGTTGCGTACACCAGATATCTGATATACTTGTATTAAATTACTATTTTTCGTACGGTAGACTCTCGGACACCCGGCAGATATCGGGACTGTCGGCTTAACGAAAACCCCGGGTTAAAGACGGAACGTCGGTAAAAAAACGCATTTTTACTTATTGAGAAAACCCTAATTTATTTCATTAAAAACGCGTAAAATAAATACTGAGATACGTTAATACAACACGATGAACACCCTCAACGCGTCAACGTTGACTGAATAAAAATAAAATACCTAATCGGTTCATTCGGACTTTTATCAGTTGGTTTTATCGTTTACGATAGTAATTTTATGGCTCTTGTAACGAAAAAATAGCCGGATCGCCGACAGTTTCCTGTATTCCTTTCTGATTTTCTACATTGAAACTGTGGCGCGCCCTCAATCAGCAGTATTATTGCATTGGAAATATTATTGAAACGGCTTCAAAAAGCCCAGAAAACAGTTTACGGATTTTCACCGTATTATAGCGGTGTAATGTAAGAACGGTTAATTACTGACTCGGATCGCGTTTTATGAATTTGGTTTTGCACTTTGGTGGTCCCGGACGTGCTGTCGCCGGTGGCCTTTATGCCGTTTCTATAACGTTGCATTTGCGGAAACAAGTATGCGATTTCACGTGAAACAAACCGAAAGGTCTTTTGAAAGTCGGCTTTCGAGATAAAACACCTATTGTATTATGCAATTCTGTATTGTTATACGATATTCAACTTACTTTTAAAGATAATTAGATAAAACAATCAATAGTATTTTACATTTTTTTTTTTTTTTAATAACAACTTATTAAACTCGGTCAGTATAACTTAGCTATTAGTTTTATAAAGATGTGTAGAAATACTCAGATTTTATTTGAACAATTTTTCAAAAAAAATTTCCAGCCGGTCAAAAAGTCACCAATCTGGGATTAAATTGTCCCGGGGACAAAACTTTTTGTTACCAATGTGACGACCTTTGAAGTGAGGGTTTTTCGCGATTATTGTATTTATTTTAGTATTTTTTTTATTATTACATATAAATACCCGCGCTGGTCGATTTCCCACACTCGGTACCTACTTGATTGGCAATCGCTATCCAATAAACATTAATTTTAGACATAGGCGATAAGGATTAATAATAAATTTTAATTTTGCCTTTATTACTATTGTGAAAGTGAAAAATATTCCGTTTGCGTTTTGGTCACGAATTAGGACATATTCTAATTCGTGGTTTTGGTGGGTACAGTTTATTTTTATTTGCGACCTATGTGAAAACCGAATAAAGTATTTTTACAAAGAATACCGATGTAAACCAGTATCGACGTGTTCGTAAAGACGTATCAATACCGGAAATAAAATTTTCAAACACTATACGCTTGATAAGTGCTTACGTAATGCTCTTATTATCAGACTGTTATCAGTAATAATAATTTGATCGTTTGAATCCAAACGATTTAATCGTACCATTAAAAACGGTCATAATATAATATTTTTAAACACCCGTGTTATACTGAAATGTGGGTATCGACACACTAAGATTTCACCATTATTAAATTAGCGATACCCGAATGAGATTTTTTGCAATAAAATAAGACGTATATAATAACGAGTACTTAAAATGTACAACAAAACGGTTTTTAAGTGGTTTGCATCAAATTTTTATGTGTTTATACATTTTTATTTGTTTTGTTACTCGATGAGGATTGTTATCGGATAATTTGACTACACACTAATCGCGCGTATTCGATTTGTAGAACATGTTCGAAAATATTCGACTAGTTTTAAAATCAATGGCCGCCAAAGTAGAAAACGAATATTGAATGAATCATACGCGACGACAAAGGAAATAATTATACACCTCCCGTGTTCAACTGTGATATCCAACAGTATATGTTTTTTTTTTCACTTTTTTATTTATCTAACATTAATGTAAAAATGACTTCCTAAAATATTGAAAAAAGTTCTTAATAAAAGTTGTTCATGACAGAGTAATTATGTGTTATGGTGAAAATTTTGCGAAGATCACGGCGTACAGTGTTCTAAAAAAAGGTTGAAAACCACTGATCTGTAGACACGAGATACAATGTAAGACGGATACCTGCTCAAATCGAATATACAGCCTGACCGTGCTCACGTAGGTAAAGTCGGATGCGGGTCTAAAGGGAAAATTCGACAGGGAAATATAATTTTACAATATTTTTCGTCGTTTCACGGCCGACGCACACGGGGGGGAAAAAAAAAAACTCTTATTGTGAAAATCGGCAAAGTTACTTTGAAAAAGAGTTCCGGTCAACTGCAGCGTGTATATACGCGCAGTGGTTACTTGTTGTACTACTCCACATTATCTATGTATTTTTTTGTGTTCTTCTCCGGTCCTCGATACGTCCAACGTATAAGGCCTTGCCGCGTGTCCGAGGTCGACCTTAAAATTCGTTCCGGCAAATCCGTCGGACAAACATAATGATTATAATGTGTGCCTTTCAATATGAATATACAGCGCATACATTATTATATTATACTCTCGACCGGTGTCGAAGAATTTTACAAAGAGCCTCTAGAAAAATAATAACACTTCCCGCTAATAATTCCATACGTTGACAACATTTAAACTATTTTCGCCGGCAGGTACGTAGAGTCGTAGTCCAAGATCAAATCGTATATAGGCATACAGATTGCAATCTATAATCTCGGTAAATATCGGCAGACAATAGTATAGTATTATATTGTTAAATGTTGAAATAAAATTGACGAGTTGTGGGTGGCGTCACACTATCAATAAATATTTTTCGACAAAACTCGGGGGTTTTTTTCGAGGGGGTGTTTGTGTGTCCAAATACGGTAAATAAGTCTACTGGACACTCAGTAATGTACGATTCTGTTTGAGTATGATTACTGTATGCAAATTAATTCGTTAGTACATTTTTTATCCAACGAAATAATTGTGT